CCTTGAAAAAGTCTCTGACAAACAATAAACTATATAAAATGTGGGTCAACGCATATCACCCTGACACAAAAATAATCAAGATTATAATAATGATAAAATGAATTTCGATTATTAGAACTCCCAATAGAAATAATATTACACATAAAATATTTTTATATAATATTATATGATAAAAAATAATTAAATAAAAATTTAATTTTAATTTAAGATCAATTAATTATATTTTACCACATAATGTTATATAAAAAATATTATATAAAATTATTGTATGTATAATATTACTTTATTGGGATATTTGATGTTGAAACGCAAGTTGGTAGCAAAATATTTTCTCAAGAAAACATTTTTGAAAAGCACTTTATTTGATTAAGTAGCTTCACCAAGAAGCATTTATATAATCAAAAGGGACGTGCTTCCCATAAAATATGGAGTAAACGATTCTTTTCCCACCCAATTGATGGCTTCATAACACTTTTTCACCTATAATATTTTAAAATATTATTTTATCACTCAAATTTATATTTTATTTTTGATTCTGGTATCGTTACGATCATCAGTCACCAAAACTCTTCAAACCCTACTCTCGTCGACTTCTCCAATCAGCAATCGAATGATTAAAGTTTGCATAACCGTTCCTCCTAAGTCAAATTCTGATAAATCCCAATCACCAAGATCCAATATTCCACCACCAAAAAAATCATTGACCTCCTCTCATCAAAAGCCTCAACAACTTGGACCGAGTTTGCTCTCTGTTTATTGCAAGAATATAAACTTGGACAGTAAAATGATATTTTAAAAATCTATGGGTGGGAAAGTGTTATTAAGGCATTATTGGTGAGGGAAGAAGTCATTAACTCCTCAAATATGAATTGCTCAAAAATTCAAATTTTGTTATGAAGATTGTTGGACATATCACGAAGCAATCTCTTTATCTAATAATTAGAAATGTTATTGGTTAAATATCATATATCATTAAATTAAAAAAAAACGTAAATATTTTTTTAAATATCTTAGGTTAATCGATCGATATCATGACAGTTAAATGATCACTATACAACGATTAGGATGAGAAGTTGGTCGTGGGTAATATTACTAATATACCAACAAAAGTTAAACTATTAGGTGAACAACAAGTTTGTAAGATGGAATACATGGAGAATGATGCATGTGATATTATAACATGTATATTCATAGTTTGAAAAAAATTTCAATCAAATTGAAAATAAGTAAGGTATAACATGTTACCTTAAGTCCTTAGCAACTTTGGAGACTTTTAATTTCAAGAGAAATTAAACAAAAGAGTATCCACACCAAGGTAGAAGAAGAATTAGGCCAAGAGGAATACTTAGGGTTCTTAGAGATTTTGATCTCTACACAAAAATTGATATATCATTTTCTTCATATATGTAGCCTTATAAACAATTCAATAATTGTTTTGGACTTTCTTAAACAATTCCATAATTGTTTTTGGAGTTGTAAATAATTCCATAATCATTATGAAGTTGTTACACTTCTTTAAATAACAACATTGGATTAACATTTAATCACAATTAACAATTTAACTCTTAAATTGTTCACATAACAATTTAACCCTTAAATTGTTTATATGTTTACAATTACAACCTATTATTAAATCCAATTTAATATAAAGAAAATGATTGATTATGAATTGGAATTCCATTTAATTCCAATTAGTAATTTAACTCTTCAATTACTGATAATAATTAATATAGCCTTCCATTGAATCCAATTCAATTCAATGATAATAATATAAATAACTTTATTACCCTTGGTAGGTGCTAGCCAACCTTGGATAATCAACTCTCTTTGCCTATTTCTCCATTCTTCTTAGTTTTTATGTGTGATCTCTTAGGTTTACTGTGGCCTAGCCGTGGGCCCAATATCACAATCTATTTCGATATGTTTTGTCATAAATCTTTATGAACAAAACTCTCACTAATTATGGTAAGCATCTAGCAATGCTCCATAACCCTTAAGTCATAATGAAGATATACTCCAATGAACCCTTTTTATAATCATACACGTTGTATAATCAAATTCTTCCGTTGTCTAATCCCAATTAAGAATGGATTCATGGTATGTCAAAATCCTTATCTTAATTTTATATTAAATTGACAATCAATACATATGGAACGTGTCACCAAGAAACAACCTTTCAAGTAACATTTTATATACCCCGGATGGAGATTTCCCTTTTCCAATGTATCTTGACATTTGTCTAGGAACTTGATATCAATCTATACCAAGTCAATTGATGGAGATCGAGGTGCTGACCAAGTTGATGTTCCCAAATATTCTCAAGATCCTTTGCAAGGAATTGGCAGTCCAATGACTAGGGCAAAGACAAAGAGGATGAAAGATGCTTTGCAAGGCTTGATCATGGAAGTGCAATACAAAGAGGCTGTACTAGAAGACTCTAAGACTAAATTCAAAGATTTCAAAGCTTCACCAAGGATGGCCTATTATCTTTTTATGCAAGGGGTAGATTCGGAAGATCAAGTTGGATGCAAGGATTAATTTAGGAATTAATTTTCGTTTATTAAATCTTGGGCTTTTTTTTTATGTTTTAATTATCAGTAGATTCTTTAGTCTTTTATTTATTCAAGGTTTATTTAGGCCCAATTCGCTTGTAATTAGGCCCAACCGTTTTTCAATTATCTAGGGTTTTCTTTTAGGGGTTGTTGCTTATAAAAAGGGGCAACCATGTTATTTTTTGGAGGACAGATTATTATCAATTGAAGTTTATTTCAGAAAGCTATTTGCTTTGCCTTCTTGTGCTCTTAATTGAATGCTTGACTCTCGACTTATCAAAGGGAGTCATTAACCTTTGTGGCATCTCAAGATTAGGGTTTTAAGGACGTAGTTTCCTTAGGGTTCTAATTTGATCATCCTCAACACGTTCCTAGCAAAACAACTTGTTCCTATTCCATCATTTGGTATCAGAAACAGGTTATCTCCAACACTTTTTGTTTGCGTTCTTGATTCAAAAAAAAAAAAAAAAATTTGAATTCATCTTTTCATAGTTCTTTTGCGTGAAAAAAGAGGCACAAAAAAAGAAAAAAAGGAGAACAAAGTGGCAATTTCGTGTTGTTAAGTTTCTCATTCTTGTTCTCTTTGCTAAGTATCCTATTTTTTGTTGAATTAGTTCCCTTTATTCTGTTCTAGTTTCCTTTCTATTCTGTTCTAGTTTCCCTTTATTTTTATTCTAGTGATTGTTTCAAGCATATTCAAGTTTGTTTTGAGTCTTTTGCTTTCTTAATCATTTAGCGTCAATTTCAGTGATTTCTTTTACATGTCTTTTGCTTCCTTTTAGAGTTTTCTTATTTTTCTTGGTTCTTTAGAGTCATCTTGGGTCTTTCTTTCTGTTCACTATTTGCCTCAACTAAGTTTTCAAAGTTCTGATTTTTGAGATTGTCACCATCTAACCGGTTGCTTTTTGAGATTTGTTGAATTCTTTGATTCTGTTAAGAACATAAAGGGGGCTGGCTTGGCTTTGAGTGGTAAAAGGCAAGAGAGATCATCATCAAGAAAAAGCCAAAATAGTGTGAAACGTGAGTGATAACAATCTAATTTGAGTGCAAACACGTGAGGGAGTGAGGAACAACACCTTTTATTTTATTTAATTTTGCAGGTTGAAACCATGAGTAAGAAAGGAGGAGAACCACAAGAGGTAGACATGAAATTCTTCATCAAGGTTGTTAATGACCAATTTAAATTGTTGAATGCGAGATTGAATGATTTGGAGTCCGCTTCCGCTTCTAAATCACATAAAAGACATGAGTTCGACGAAGAAGACGAAGCTGATTCTGAAGTGGAGAGAACAAGTTATAAATGGGCCAAGAAGGTTGACTCCAAAGGAGATAACAATATAGGCAGTATAAAGATGGCAATTCAGACTTTTCAAGGAAAGAATGATCCTGAGCTATACTTGGAGTGGGAAAGAAAGGTTGAGCACGTATTTGATTATCATAATTACTCCGAGGAGAAGAAAGTAAAGCTAGCAGTCGTGGAGTTTATAGATTATGCAGGTATATGGTGGGATCAATTGGTGATCAATAGGCGCAGGAATGGTGAGAGGCTTATTCAGTCATGGGAAGAGATGAAGTTGGTGATGCGCAAGAGCTTTATACCTAGCCATTACTACAGAGATTTGTATAGGAAGTTGCAAAGGCTGGTTCAAGGTTCCATGAGTGTAGATGATTATTATAAGGAGATAGAAATCGCCATGATTAAAGCAAACATAGAGGAAGACAGAGAAGCAACAATGGCTAGATTCATTACCGGATTGAACAAGGAGATTGCTGATGTGGTTGAGTTGCAACATTACGTAGAAATGGAGGAGCTACTACACAAAGCCGTTAAAGTGGAGAAGCAAATCAAGTCCAAGAGGTTCAAATCTGGTTCGTCCTCTAGCTCTCCGTGGAGATCAAATTGGAAGGACAACAAAGCTGTCTTCAGAACAAAAGAAGAAGCAAAGTTGAAGAATTTGGTTGCTGTTCCTAAAGGTAAACCTGAAACTAAAACTCATACTAAGTCATGTGATATTGAGTGTTTTAGGTGTCAAGGATTCAGACATATTGCTTCCGAATGCCCAAACAAAAAGGTTATGGTTGTACGGGCAAATGAAAAAGTCGAAAGTGCTAGCTCAAGTGACGATGAGATGCCACCATTAGAGGATTGTTCTGATGTTGAAGTGGAAGAATCTGTGCATGGTGACTTACNTAAGTTTTAAAGTTTTGATTTTTGAGATTGTCACCATCTAACCGGTTGCTTCTTAAGATTGTGAATTCTTTGATTCTGTTAAGAACACAAAGGGGGTTGGCTTGGCTTGAGTGGTAAAAGGTAAGAGAGATCATCATCAAGAAAAAGACAAAATAGTGTGAAACACGAGTGATAACAATCTGATTTGAGTGCAAACACGTGAGAGAGTGTGTGAGGAACAACACCTTTTATTTTATTTAATTTTACAGGTTGAAACCATGAGTAAGGAAGGAGGAGAATCACAAGAGGTCGACATGAAATTCTTCATCAAGGCTGTTAATGACCAATTTAAATTTCTGAATGCGAGATTGAATGATTTGGAGTTCTCTTCCGCTTCTAAATCACATAGAAGACATGAGTTCGAAGAAGTAGACGAAGCTGATTCCAAAGTGGAGAAAACAAGTTATAAACGGGCCAAGAAGGTTGACTCCAAAGGAGATAACAATATAGGCAGTATAGAGATGACAATTCCGACTTTTCAAGGAAAGAATGATCATGAGCTATACTTGGAGTGGGAAAGAAAGGTTGAACACGTATTTGATTGTCATAATTACTCCGAGGAGAAGAAAGTAAAGCTAGCAACCGTGGAGTTTACAGATTATGCAGGTATATGGTGGGATCAATTGGTGATCAATAGGCGCAAGAATGGTGAGAAGCCAATTCAGTCATGGGAAGAGATGAAGTTGGTGATGCGCAAGAGATTTATACCGAGCCATTACTATAGAGATTTGTATAAGAAGTTGCAAGGACTGGTTCAAGGTTCCATGAGTGTAGATGATTATTATAAGGAGATGGAAATCGCCATGATTAGAGCAAACATAGAAGAAGACAGAGAAGCAACAATGGCTAGATTCATTGCCGGATTGAAGGAGATTGCTGACGTGGTTGAGTTGCAACATTACGTAGAAATGAAGGAGCTACTGCACAAAGCCGTTAAAGTGGAGAAGCAAATCAAGTCCAAGAGGTTCAGATCTGGTTTGTCCTCTAGCTCTCCGTAGAGATCAAATTGGAAGGACAACAAAGTTGCCTTTAGAACAAAAGAAGAAGCAAAGTTGCAGAATTCGGTTGCTGTTCCTAAAGGTAAACCCGAAACTAAAACTCTTACTAAGTCACGTGATATTAAGTGTTTTAGGTGTCAAGGATTCAGACATATTGCTTTCGAATGCCCAAACAAAAAGGTTATGGTTCTACGGACAAATGGAGAAGTCGAAAGTGCTAGCTCAAGTGACAATGAGATGCCACCATTGGAGGATTGTTCTGATGTTGAAGTGGAAGAACTTGTGCATGGTGATTTACTTGTTACAAGGAGAGCCCTAAGTATACAGCCTAAGGATGAAAGAGATGAGGAGCAAGTGAGCATATTTTTCACACAAGATGCCACGTGAAGGATAAGGTATGTACGTTGATTATTGATAGTGGGAGTTGTACTAATGTTACTAGTACTTTGTTGGTAGAAAAGTTGAATTTGAAGTGGGAGAAGCATCCTAAACCGTACAAGCAACAATGACTGAATGATTGTGGAGAAGTGAAGGTAAACAAGCAAGTTCAGGTTCCTTTTTCAATTGGCAAGTATGAAGATGAGGTTCTTTGTGATGTGGCACCGATGTATGCTGGTCATATATTACTTGGCCGATCGTGGCAGTTTGACAGGAGGATGTCGCATGATGGGTACAAAAATCGTTATTCTTTTGTAATGAACAACCGAAAAGTTGTACTAGCCCCTCTCAAACCTTTGCAAGCTTATGAGGACCAAATTAGGATAACAAGAGAGTGCAAAATGAGAGAGAAGCAAAAGTGTGAGCAAAAAGAAAATAGAAAGAGAGCAATTGAGGTCGAGAGGAAAAATGGAGAGAAAAGTGAGTGAAAATGAGAGAAAAGTGAGCAAGAAGGAGAGAAACATAAAAGAATGTGTACTTGTTGAAAAACGTGAGGTTAAGAGTGTAATGATGGCGAGGCAAGAAGTACTTGTACTTATGTACAAGGATGTTTATCTTTCTATTAACGACCTTAACTCATCTTTGCCTAGTGTTGTTGTGTCTTTATTGCAGGAATTTGAGGACCTATTTCCTGAGGAGATTCCCCATGGATTACCTCCTTTAAGAGGAATTGAGCATCAAATAGACTTTATACCTGGTTCCGCCATACCAAATTGACCTGCTTATAGAGCTAATCCCGAGGAAACGAAGGAGATACAAAGGCAAGTGGATGAACTGTTGCAAAAGGGTTTTGTTAGGGAGAGTCTCAGCCCATGTTCGGTTCCTGTCCTCTTAGTCCCAAAGAAAGATGGAACATAGCGCATGTGTGTGGATTGTCGGGCTATTAACAAGATAATGGTAAAGTATAGACATCCTATCCCCAGATTAGATGATATGCTTGATGAATTACATGACTCCCAATTGTTTTCTAAAATTAATTTAAAGAATGACTATTATTAGATTCGCATGAAAGAGGTAGATGAATGGAAAACTGTATTTAAAACTAAATATGGATTGCATGAGTGGTTAGTAATGCCTTTCAGTTTAACTAATGCACCTAGTACATTCATGAGGTTAATGAACCATGTCTTGCTTTCTTTTATTGGAAAATTTGTGATAGTTTACTTTGATGATATTTTAGTTTATAGCAAAAATTTGGATGAACATGTGAAACACTTGCATGCTGTGTTTAGGGTGTTGAGAGAGCACCAATTGTACGCTAATCTTAAGAGGTGCACGTTTTGCATGAAATCTGTTGTGTTTCTTGGATTTGTTGTTAATTCGCAGGGTATTATTATTGATGAAGAAAAGGTAAGGACAATAAGGGACTGGCCTACACCTAAGAATGCGAACGAGGTGAGAAGTTTCCATGGTTTAACAAGTTTTTATCGAAGGTTTGTTAAAGATTTTAGTTCTATTGCTGCACCTTTGAATGAACTTGTTAAAAAAAATGTTGTTTTTAAGTGGGATGATGTGCATGATCGGGCTTTCAAAACTTTGAAAGATAAGTTAACTAATGCACCTTTCTTGTGTTTGCCTAACTTTGATAAAACTTTTGAGATAGAATGTGATGCATCAGGGATTGGAATAGGAGCTGTTTTGATGCAGGTTTTCAAACCAATTGCTTATTTGAATGAAAAGCTAAGTGGGGTAGCGTTGAATTATCCTACTTACGACAAGGAACTTTATGCGTTAGTGAGAAGTCTTCAAACATGGCAGTATTACTTGTGGCCGAGGGAATTCATCATTTATTCCGATCATGAGAGCTTGAAGTTCTTGAAGACCCAAGGTAAGCTTAATAAAAGACATGTTAAGTGGTTGGAGTTCATAGAAACGTTTCCTTATGTAATCAAATACAAGCATGGGAAGGAAAACGTTGTTGCTGATGCATTGTCTAGGAGGTACGTATTACTTACTTCATTGCAAACTAAATTACTTGGTTTTGAATTGCTTAAGGATTTGTATGCGAATTATTTTGATTTCAGCCAAGTATGGAATGCATGTGATAAGTGTGTGTTTGGTGATTTTTATAGGCATGAAGGATTTCTATTCAAGAAAGATAAATTATGTGTGCCTATTTGTTCTATTCGTGAGTTGCTTGTTAGGGACAGCTATGGGGGAGGTTTGATGGGTCACTTTAGTGTTCTAAAGACTTTAGATATATTACGGGAGCATTTTTATTGGCCTCATATAAAGCATGATGTGCAATCTGTTTATGATAAGTGCATTACATGTAGGCAAGCAATATCTAAAGTTAGACCGCATGACTTGTACACCCCTTTACCTGTACCTAATCAACCTTGGATTGATATATCTATGGATTTTGTTTTAGGATTACCAAGGACCTAAAGAGGCAAGGATAACATATTTGTTGTTGTTGATAGGTTTAGTAAAATGGCTCATTTTATTGCATGTTCTAAAACCACCGACGCACCACATATTGCTGATTTGTTCTTTAAAGAAATGGTTTGTTTGCATGGGTTGTCTAAGACAATTGTTAGTGATAGAGATGTTAAGTTCCTAAGTCATTTTTGACGCACTTTATGGAATAAATTATGAACCAAACTGTTATTCTCTACTATTGCACATCCTCAAACGGATGGTCAAACTGAAGTAGTTAATAGGACACTCACTACTTTGTTGTGTGCTATCATTAAAAAAAACTTAAGGCAGTGGGAGAAATGTTTGCCACATATTGAGTTTGCATATAATAGGACTGTTCATTCTACTTCTTCATTTTCTCCTTTTGAATTTGTTTATGTCTTTAATCCTTTAACATTTTTTGATATTTTACCTTTGCCTCCTAATGAACATGCTAATCTTGATGGTAAGAAAAAGGCAAATTTTGTGAAGGATTTACATGCCAAAGTTCGGGCCAACATTGAAAGGAAGAATGAGCAATATGCTAAGCAAGCCAATAAGGGGCGTTTGAAGGTTGTCTTCCAACCTAGAGATTGGGTTTGGGTGTACATGCGTAAGGAGAGGTTTACCACACAAAGTAAATCAAAATTGTAGCCTAGAGGAGATGGACCTTTTCAAGTCTTGGAGCGGATCAATGATAATGCCTACAAGCTAGATTTGCCAAGCGACTATGGTAATGTTAGTGCAACTTTTAATGTTGCTGATTTATCTTTGTTTGATGTAGGTGATTTGAGGACGAATCCTTTCGAAGAGGAGGGGAATAATGGAGATTGAGGTGCTGACCAAGTTAATGTTCCCAAATATTCCCAAGATCCTTTGCAAGGAATTGGTGGTCCAATGACTAAGACAAAGACAAAGAGGATGAAAGAGGCTTTGCAAGGCTTGATCATGGAAGTGCAATACATAGAGGCTGTACTAGAAGACTCTAAGACTAAATTCAAAGATTTCAAAGCTTCACCAAGGATGATCTATTATCTTTTTATGCAAGGGGTAGATTCAGAAGATCAAGTTGGATGGGAGGATTAATTTAGGACTTAATTTTCGTTTTTTAATCTTGGGCTTTTTTTTCATGCTTTAATTATCATTAGATTTTTTAGTCTTTTATTTATTTAAGGTTTATTTAGGCCCAATTCGCTTTTACTTAAGCCCAAACCCTTTTTTTTTCAATTAGTTAGGGTTTTTTTAGGGTTTGCTGCTTATAAAAATGGGCAGCCATGTTATTTTTGGGGGACATATTATTATCAAATGAAGTTTATTTTCAGAAAGCTATTTGCTTGCCTTCTTATGTTCTTGAATGAATGCTTGAATCTCAACTTATCAAAAGGAGTGATCAACCTTTGTGGCGTCTCAAAATTAGGGTTTTAAGGACTTAGTTTTCTTAGGGTTCTAATTCGATCATCCTCAACACGTTCCTAGCAAACTAACTTGTTCCTATTCCATTGAGTTCGTGAGTTCCTAGGGTAATTCGCCTAGAGGATCTATATCAGTAATCCTCCCATTCAACAAAGTCTTATTGGGTGAAGAGTCAAGCCCACCTCAAATTCTATCATGATATCAGAGTCCAGGTTCAATTGAGTTGAGTGCTTGACCAGCGGGTGAAGAGTTAGAGTCGATAACTACCTCTAATAACAAGCATGACCCAACATATGAGCTTGACCGAGGGAGAGTGTTGGAGTCCCACACCGACTAAGCACGCTTAAACTTACTGGATTATAAAAGGAGGTAATCCTCCTATTCAACAAGGTCTTATTGGGTGAGGAGCCAAGCCCACCTCAAATTCTATCAAAGATGACACAATAGCTGATCTTGCATAAGCATAGGATAAAATCAACCTACATAGCAACATGAAAATCATCTAGCTTAGGCAAAGAGAGCAATCTTGATGCAACGCTAACTCTTATAGGATCTATAACAACCAAGAATGAATCCATAAAATTGCTTTGATCTTGCACAATCTCAAGATTTTATTTTTTGTCCTCTTGCTTGGCTTCAATTTCATTATGGCCCACTTCATCTTCAACTTCAATGTCTACTTCATCAACAACCTCTTGTACTATTCGAACTTCAAACTTGCGTTCTAATAATTCAAAACAAATACTAATAAAACATGAATTCTAATCATTCTAATTCTAAAAATAATCCTATTCCTCCTACATCAAGAGTTCTCGTTAATAAAGACCAATTTGAATTGTACATAAATGATAAAATGCGGAAAGTTCTAGTTGTAAATAATGCATTTCTGCATAAAAGAACATTTCAACTCCATATACAAGTTAATGGAAGTAAAGCACAAAGTATTAGGACACAAGATTAATTTCCTAACATACATAATGTATGTTGACATCAAGGTCCATGTTTTTTCCAACTTATTAGCCCACTTGGGAAAACAAACAGGAAGGTATAACCAAAATGAATGAAGATTTCTTAGAGAACAAAAAATTAAAAGAGATCAAAATTCATTCCCTCCAAATTTCAACTTAAGAAAAGTAAAGCATTTACCGAACATTGTAGGTGCTGAAAGGATGTGAAGAACCATCAGAGCATGTTAAAACGAATTGTGTTGAGAGTCCACAAGGTATCTTGATCTGCACACCAATAAGATAAAAATAATTGTCAGTGTCCGCCCTACAAATAATTGATGAACCTTTTGCTGTCGAACCAACAAATTTGTCCTTGACTAGTCCTAAAAGTTCCTGAAAATTATACATAAGCATTTTTTTTATCCCAAGAAGATCTGGTTAGAAATCTAATGCTTAGGTGCTATCTTTTAACCATGTACATCTAAGATTTCTCACCAATGTAGCACTTTCTAGAAAAGATCAAGGTAACAATATAGAGTATCTTGCATGTCAAAAAGAGGGATAAATGATATCAACACAGCACTTTTGCCTGTAATGGAAACTTTATTTACCGAAATACATATGGATAATTATATTGGTTTGAAGCGCTTTTCGAGTCTGATATAAATGTTAATTTATGAGCACATTAAATATATGATATCTTAGTCAAAATGTGTTCAAACATGTTGAATTAGTTTAATTGCCACATAATGCACACATTCAATATGAAAAAGGAAACATCTTTTTTTTCATGCTGGTGCATCAAATTTAAATAGCTTACCGATAAATCCTTCGAAAATTTCTCTTCAATAACCACAGCTTCTGTGGTATTTATCCTTACTTGGTAACTTGATCGTCCTAAGATTAGTGTTGCTGGCTCCCAATTCTCCGAAGAATCCATCTGTTAAAGGAAGTTATAGAAAAACTGTGTTAAAACACAATTCCAATACTGATTTACTTTTGAGTCAAATTGATGGATTTAGAAAGGGATTTCTACATATTAAAAAATTTATGTGACAAAGGAAACATCCATCTATAATCATTAATCACTATTCACTATTAGAATAATCATACACAAGGGGAAAGGTATAATTTATAGCAAGCCAAAAAAAAAAAAAAAAAAAAAAAAAAGAAAAAAAAAAAAAAAGAAGAAAGAAAGAAAGAAAGAAAGAAATGAAAGTGTTGTCGCTGCAGCTCTATATTTAATTTCCAGGATAATTTGACAAAAGATAAAATTCAGCTAGCCAAGGAAGAATTAGAAGAGCCAATGATCCAAAGGGGAGAAGAGCCTACCAACAACTGTAGAGAATTAGCTTCCTAAAACATGGTATAAAAAAGAACTGTACTAATGCATCTAAACCCTCCAATAAATTATACCAATCTTGTCCAACTAAAAACAATTCAGTTTCTAACCTATGAAATGGTAATTATTTTTCTAAACATATTTTAGAGATCACTACCAGATTTTGATTAGATTTCATTATCTCTTTACAATAGACTTATCTTTAGAATTATATTTATTTTACTATAGTGTTTAAATTGTCATGTTGAGCCTATAATAGGCTTTGTATTTACGCAGAATGTAGAATGTTGGTGATTTAAAGAAATACACAATATTCTGATAGACCTCCCATCAAGAAGGTATACCAACACAGAGGGCACAAGGGTAAAAGGCCATTAACTGAATTGAAGAGGCATGCGTAAGTGAAGGATGACTTGAGGCATGTGGCGTGTGAAGAACCAATTAGTTAGAAGGGAATAATTATGTTACCTGATTTATGTATAAAGGGGAGAGCCATTTGTTAAAAAGGCAGATTATTATCAATAGTGAATCAAGGAGGTCCCCATCCCATCAAACTATTGGGATTATCTGTTACTCATTTTCATTTCATTGTAGTTTAGCACCGCTCTGTAAACTGTCCTTTATTTCTTAATCAATATCAATTAGAATCAACCTAGTTTTACATTGGATATAATTCTTGAGTTTGTTTGTGTCTTTTTGGTTTACTGTGTTATGTGGTTGTCCTGGGGTTCCATCAATTGATATCAGAGCCTTGTGTGGGTAATGACTAAATCAAGAATGGAACGTAAGGTTGAGGGATTGGAGAAGGAAATATGTAATATGGAGAAGGAGCTAGGAAGGATGAAGGAAGAGTTAGGAAGCATCAAGGGATATCTCCTTGAGCTGCGAGAATGGATGAGGTTGAAGGAGAAGAAGGAGGCCAATACTAGTCATGATCGGGGCAAAACAAATCTGGGGGAGAGCTCAAATAGCGGTGACAATGGCGGAGTTGATCGGAGTAAAGAAACCGAGAGCTCTAAGGAGGAGAGGAAGAGTAAAAAATTAGAGTTACCAATGTTTAATGGAGAGGATCCCTATGGATGGACCTTCAGAGTAGATCGCTATTTCTCAATCAATCGTTATGTAGAGGGAGAAAAAGTAGAAGCTGTTATGGTTTGTATGGGGGGACGTGCACTGAATTGGTATCAGTGGGTTGAATCAAGGGCACCAATCAATTCATGGGAAGCCTTTAAGGCTGTTGTGGTTGCAAGATTTTGTCCATCCTTCAAAGGCTCGGCATATGAAGCCTTAGTAGGATTAAAGCAAACTGGAATAGTAACAGAGTTCAAGGAAAATTTTGAAGAATATTCTACTCCCTTGTGCGAGGTAGGGGAAGAATTGCTGATGGGTATTTTTCTCAATGGACTCAAAGAAGAGATTTGAGCCGAATTGCGTTTGGCCCAATCAACCACACTTTTTTCACTCATTGAACAAGCCCATAGAGTAGAGGAGAAGAATTGGGTCTTGGAGAAAAGTAGGCCCAAACCATTTAGAGCCCAAACTAATAAAATGGAGCACTACAACTGGGTCACTCCCAACCCGGAAACATGGCGCACAAACGTGTGGAGCCCCAGCCCCTTTTCACGCAATTCAGACTTTACTCCAAACAGAATAGGTGAACGACGAGAGAGATCCACCGATACACCCATGCCAGGATTTCGCGGAGAGGGATTTCGGCGCATGACTAACACCGAGATTCAAAGCAAGAAGGAACATGGGATATGCTTTAGATGCGACGAAAAGTACAGTCCAACTCATCGGTGTAAAGCGAGGTCACTACAGATTTTGTTAGTCACCAATGATGACACACTAGAAAAGGAGGAGCCCAACTCTGAAGCCGATGATGACGTCAACATGGTAGGTAACCCCTGGGCATTATTAATGAACTCTATTGTAGGGATGACAATAGACAAAACTCTGAAGCTCAGGGGGTCGATTGGAGATGAGACAATAATTGTGTTGGTGGATAGTGGGGCATCCAACAATTTCATCTCAAAGGAATTAGTGCAGAAGCTAGGCCTGGACATTGAGAAGGGAAAACAATTTGGAATGATGGTAGGGAATGGTTTCACAATTAGAGGAGAAGGGATTTG